ACCGTCCCTGTTATACCAGGTTCCACTGTAATGTCCTCACTGGCGCCACCGTCCCTGTTATACCAGGTTCCACTGTAATGTCCTCACTGGCGCCACCGTCCCTGTTATACCAGGTTCCACTGTAATGTCCTCACTGGCGCCTTCACGGCCTGAACGGTCCTTACTTTCTCCACAGCGCCGTAAAACATCTACTATTACTTCAATGAACTAAACATAATAGGACGTTCAGCAGTGGTAATCCGACCTATAAGTCGCTCTTTGAGAGAACCCAAGCGATGACGACATTTGGGAGAACCCAAGCGATGACGACATTTGGGGGAACCCAAGCGATGACGACATTTGGGGGAACCCAAGCGATGACGACATTTGGGAGAACCCAAGCGATGACGACATTCGTAGCCTTAAGTACTAAGCCCACAAAGCCAGATTTTTTCAGGAGAGAGAAAAAATGTTTCATTCTTTTAAAAGCTGTAGCGATTTTTTAGTCTACCTTCCCTCTTTCCCTTCCAGCATAAAAATTTAGAATTTGAGTTTCAATAAAGTATTATTGTTGACCACCTGTGTAACCAATACTCAACACTGGAGATGAAGAAATTGCAAGAGAATTCTGAAAAGTTTGACTTTGAGCTTAGAGCCTCTCAACAGCAGGACAAGAAACTTTCCGTTGATTCAAGACACAAAAAACCCAACAAAAAACAACAAAACATTTACGCTTCCATTGACAGAATTTAGATCATTTAGTGGGTGGGCTTCCGACCCTACCTGTCAGGGCCAGCCCAGGCTGAGAGGGATACAGCGGAACTCGGATTCAACGAGGTCGCTGGGCCTGACCTAAAATCTCGTTGAATCCGAGTGTTCGTTATAGCAAACATGAGGTTTTGTGTAGATAATTCCAGGCACTGAGCAAGTAATGTATAAAGAGAAGTCGCAAGTAGTGCCTGAAATGCCTGCATATTATGAGCTGTGGAAAAAAAAGACCAATTCGCTCAAATGCATGCCTGTGTAATCTCGATTGTTTACCACAAAGTTGTGTTGCTGTGTAGAGCCTAGCATACGGCAACTTTTGATTCCATAGACCAGCGCACAATTCATTACGAAGATCTACGTCAAGACTAGTTTATCATTGCAATAATGATCAGTTGCCGAGGGGAAAAAAAGACTGTGACGCGTTTGTATCTGCGACGTTCAACGCCCTGATTGCTAGTGCACCCCGCTCCCTCCCCGACACACACACACACACAGCCACATGTGTGCAGGCGCCCATCCAACCCCGACACACGCCAGAGTAGACACGTACACGAGCCAACAAAGCATATGGAAAAAAAGGCCGCTGATTGGACACATGCAATCGGGTAAGTGAATAATGGTTCACGATGCAGTTGCAATGGTAGGTTTCCGGGAATAGATAAAGTTCGTTCTGGAAGAAAAATGAGCGAAGCCACGTCTGTGGGGGCTGTAGACCGTGGAAGCGACCTCGTTGAATCCGAGCTCGCTGATTTAAGTGCTCGTTGAATCCGGGTTATTTTTTTTATTGATTTTAAAGGAGGAAAAAAACGGGGAATCTGTCTCATCTCGTTGAATCCGAGCTCGTTAAATCTGAGTTCCACTGTACAACATCCCAGCAGACAGACCCGGGCTGAGAGGGATACAACATCCCAGCAGACAGACCCGGGCTGAGAGGGATACAACATCCCAGCAGACAGACCCGGGCTGAGAGGGATACAACATTAAGCCCCATGTGACACATCTTGTGACCCAGAGACACATCTTGTGACCCAGAGACACATCTTGTGACCCAGTGACACATCTTGTGACCCAGTGACACATCTTGCGACCCAGTGACAAAGTGAGTACTATCAATAGTTTTTTTAAGTTTTCGTAGGAGTTTTACGGCACTTGCAACACATTAAGGTCAAATAAGTGCCGAAGAATAGATGTGCTATAAGACAGTAATATACACAAAAAAGAAGGAGGAGAGATAGGGACGATAGATGTTTGATAGGACAGAAGGAGAGATAGGGACGATAGATGTTTGATAGGACAGAAGGAGAGATAGGGACGATAGATGTTTGATAGGACAGAAGGAGAGATA